AGTATTCTCAGAAAATTACTGACACTGCTCAGGATCTAATATACAAATAATTTATACACGTAATGATAATATCATTGACATATACAAAATATCATATACATAGAGATATCTTGATCAATTGTGTGAAAATGAACAGTCAAAAGTCATAGAATCAATAGTTACATATCACCCTCTGGAACTACAATATCCTTAAAATACTATGTTTCCCATGTCCTTTTTCAAATACAACATCGAATGATTTCCTGATTCAGATATCCATGGGGAAAAGGCTTTGTGCTACTCGAATCAAGTTGTCGAGCTTTACAAACTAACATATTTTCGGTGTGAATTAGTGATTCACACTTAGGAACCTTCCCTCATTGATTGCATCATGAGATCTTGCTCATGTAAACCAAAAAAGCACTCATGCTTTTCTTTCCTAATGTATACAATTATCATTATTAATAACTTGGATTATGTTAGTATATACCAGGATTGTATTTTTCAAATTGTAAAAATATGTAAGTTTGTCTGATAAGCTGGGTCACTAAATAACAAAGGGCTAATGCTTTATTTTGGTCGTTTTCTGTAGTATAAGACCTTTTTGTTAACAGAAAGCAGTTGCTATGCAAGAACTATTATTCATTTAAAAAAAAAACAAGTTGACTAGTTTTCCAATAACTTTTGACAGGAATAAGATAGAGATCTGTGAGTTTTCACCATTTAAAAGAGATGGTGAAATTGCATCGAATCGTATATATAAGATTTTTCTGATAAGCCTTTAAAAAAACAAAACATTACGTAAAGTAAAAATTTTGAGATACTAATTTTCAGAAGTCCGCTAGAATTGCTAAGTAAAGATCTACCAATTATGTAAGGCTGACGTTATTAGCTTTAACCAATCATTAGTTATAGACATTTTACTGCATATTCTCTGTCGATTACTCACCGAAAATCGAACATTTTTCGCTGATTTTTTGATAAAAAAATCACATGATTCACTTGTAAAAAGTTTCGATTCTTTTACAAAACTTGATGATAGACCCTAGAAAAACTCGTTGGAAAAATTTGACGTATACGATTCGATGCAATTTCATCACCTCTTTTAAATGATGAAAGCCATAGATCGCTATCTTGTTCCTGTCAAAAGATATTATAAAAATGTTCATCCTTCTTTTGTTTTGAAATAAATAATAGTATGTATTTTTCTTTTGATTAGCTAATTACATCAAATTAAATTTTTTTTCCATAAAAAAATATCCAAAGTTTATTTTAATACCTTTTGCACAAAATAAAAAAAACAATAAAAATGTAGTTTTGCACATGTGTATATAAGGAAATCTGACGAGCTGCATAAGCCAAATCAATTTTCATACTGTTTGATAGACATTCATTACAGAATAAAACTGGACTATTTGATTGAAAGGAGAACCATTATTGAATAACTTATAAAACGAGCAACTGTTACGTGAGATATTACTTCTAGTTTTAGAGACGCCATAAATGAAATTGTTGGAGAGTTAAAATTCAAAGAATTGTATCTGATGAACTGATTCTTTAGAAAAAACCAGTGTTGTATGAAAAAGTGATATTGATTGACATTGTGCTTCATTTGTATTCATGTTTGTATATCAGATTGCATTTTTAAATAATATTGACATGTTATGAATAATGTCAAATAATAAAAAAAATGCACAAAACGCTAGATGTTATTATAAGAATTTTCAACGAACTCTACAATTTGCAATTATTTAAAAGGAAAATGAGGTATTGATAGTTAGTGAATTCTATAAATTGTAGTTAGTTAAAAGTAAAAATGAAAGATAAGCCTACTTAAAATTGATGTGAATAAATTTTTAAGGATTTAAAAATGAAAATGTCAGACTTCGTATTTTGACTTTTAAATTAATTTAAATTACAAAAATCATTGAAATTGAGTTAAACAGTTTTTGAATTTCGATTTATGTTCGCAAAGGAGAACCTGCAGTACTTACCCTAGTCAACTTTTCCCTTAACGAATTTCTGAAAATTCTCGACATGGATTTTCCAGGGATTTAAGAGGAAATTTCAGAAAGACTCTCTAAAAAGTTAAGGATTCATCAGAGAATTACTAGTGAGTCCCTGAAAATGCGAAATCCTTAGGGATTCCCAACATTGACTTCCCAGGGATTTCGTATTTTTCAGGAGACTTACCAGGGACTTTTTCGCAGGGGAGAGTGGACTATGGTATATGTATCAAGTTTTAGTAGTAGCAGTCTTTCAATGAAAATATCATCAATGACTATATAACTCTATCGACGAAATAATATTGCGCGTTTTCAAGGGCTCTACAAATCTCGATTTCATTTTTTTTCTAATTAATAATAATTCATAAGAAAAAGAAAAAATGTTAAGAAGCAAGTTTTTTCCAAACTCAATGGTTAGGAAAAAGGATGGGCTTTTCTTTGACATGCATGTTGGCTCTCTCTCTCTCTCTGTCATTTCTCTTTGTTCAGTAAAGAACTTGCGTGGAGATAAACTTGTAAAAAATTCATAACTTGGTCAGATGGATAGTCCCTGAGGACAAGGAACACAAACGTTTGTTGACAATGAGATGGATGATGAAACAGACAAACGACCCGCTCGGTCGGTGATAGACTGTGTTGATGAAGCAAAAGAAAATAAAATAAAACAATATTTCTAAATTCTGATAGTTATCATCTACTCTCACCCTCAAATTCCAAGAATTCCAGTTAGTCCATGTGTTCCGATTCCGTAGACTGCAGCCACATGTCTCACTCCTATTTATCCGCCGTTCCGAACAAAATCACCCTTTTTCAAACACTTGATTTTCTCTCTCTCTCTCTCTCTTCTCTATATCTGGCGTCTCTTATTGTGACACTCATTCTTCTCTAATTTAAGTACCACTACGAGCATCTGCTATTGACATTCATCCGAATGCAAAATGGAGACAGAATGGTCTGACTGTAGCTGGAGGAAACGGACATGGCAACGGAAGCCATCAACTCTATGCTCCAGTGAATTTGTATGTCGATGATGATCAAACGATTTATGTCGCTGATCAAGGAAATGATCGTATTATGGAATGGAAATATGGTGCAACGAGTGGTCGAGTGGTGGCCGGTGGAAATGGAATTCATCAGTTAAACAGCCCACAAGATGTGATCATCGACAAAGAGAGAAATAGTCTCATCATCGCCGATACGGGAAATCAAAGAGTAGTTCGATGGCCTCATCGAAATGGTACCAGTGGAGAAACAATCATCTCGGACATCTTTTCTTGCAGGGGTTTGATAATGGATGACAATGGATCTCTCTATATCGTTGGCTGGGATGAAGTTAAACGATATAGAATTGGTGAGACTGAAGGAACAGTGGTTGCAGGTGGCAACGGGAGTGGAGATCATCTCAATCAACTCTTTGTCCCCTACTATGTATTTGTCGATCGAGATCATTCAGTGTACGTGTCTGATTTTGTAAATCATCGTGTAATGAAATGGGAAGAAGGTGCAAAACAAGGCATTGTCGTAGCTGGCGGTCAAGGGAAAGGAAATAGTCTTACACAACTGTCACATCCTGCAGGGGTGGTTGTCGATCAATTGGGCACTGTCTACGTGGCTGAATATGAAAACCATCGAATAATGCGTTGGCCAAAAGGAGCTATACAGGGAAGTATCATTGTTGGTGAAAACGGTCAAGGAGCACAGTCAAATCAATTATTTTTTCCCTATGGTTTATCATTCGATCGACATGGCAATCTCTATGTCGTCGATTCCGGCAATCAACGAGTACAAAAATTTTCAATCGAACAGACGATAAATTAATGATATTTATTTGTTTGCATAGTTGAAAATGATTTCCATTAAATAAAAACAAAGGCATTCGTTTGCGATTAATTAATAAATAAATATAATAGACATTCGTGCTCGACCAAAAAACTGTTCCTGCTGGTGGGAGTGACGATCGTCAGGCTATGCACGAATAGAGCAAGTCTTTATGCATACGCAACAAAGAATATCGTATGGAACCGATGAGCCTGTGTCGTGTTGCCG